CCACTTTTTTATGCTTGATATTTTTTTAAAGGGGGAGGTGGGCAGAGGGAGAGAAAGTCTTAAGCAGGCTCCATGACTAGCACGGAACCCGACGTGGGGCTCATTCTCACAAGTCTGAGATCATGACCTGAGCCAAAATCAAGAGTCGACTGCTTACCTTTAATCAGAAGTAATAACACAATTATGAAATTTATAAAATCATTTGGGATAACCACAAAAAACAATTATTCGTAACAAATAAAGACTTTCTAGGAAGAAAAAAACAAGAAAAAAAAAAAAAGAGTCGGCTGCTTAACAGACTGAGCTACCCAGGCACCTCTATGCTTGCTGTTAATTGTGTTTTCCCTTCTTTCTTGATGGGGATTTATTAATTATGTTAGTCTTTAGAAAGAACTGTCATTGACCTTTGTGAATCTTCCTTGCTACCTGTTTTCTTTTTCATTAATTACTAGTACTCTTATTTTTATTCCTTTCTTCCTTTTACTTTACTTGGGATTAATTTAGTATTTTTTTTTCTAACTCTTTAAGATAGATCACTGGATTACTTACTTTCAATTATTCTATTTTCCAAGCATTTAAAGAACATTTAAAGCTCTACAACTGCCTGTAAGCATAACTTAAGCTCCAGGCCAGATATTTTGGTGTTGATATTTTCATTATGATTCAAGTTCAGTAAAAACTTTTTTTTTTTTAATTTTCTATTTTTATTTCTTCCTTGGGAAAGAAATATATTGCATAATTTCCAAGTATATGGAGATTTTCTGGTTATCTTTTTGTTCCTGATTTCTAACTTAATTGCTTTATGGTCAGAAAATATTGATCAAGAAAATGGCCTACTTCTGTAAACTTTCCATGTGAGCTTGGAAAGGTTATTGAGTGTATTGTGTGTGTGTGTGTGTGTGTATGCACATATGTATGCATTCATTAATTTTGTTGATTGTGTTCAATCTTTTGTATTTATACTGATTTTTATTTTTGGTTGACTTCTTATATCAATTATTTAGAGATGTATATTAAAAGTTTCCACTGTGGGGGCGCCTGGGTGGCTCAGTCGTTAAGCATCTGCTTTCAGCTCAGGTCATGATCCCAGGGTCCTGGGATCAAGCCCCACGTCCGGCTCCCTGCTTGGCAGGAAGCTTGCTTCTCCCTTTCCCACTCCCCCTGCTTGTGTTCCTGCTCTCGCTCTCTCTCTCTGTCAAATAAATAAATAAAATCTTAAAAAAAAAAAACAACTTTCCACTGTGGATTTATCTATTATCTCCTTGTAGCTTGGTCAGTTTTTGCTTTCTGTATTCCAAAGCTATGTTATTTGGGTTGTATCTTTTATTTTAAAGATTTTATTTATTTAAGGAGAGTGAGTGAGCAGGGGGGAAGGGCAGAGAGAATCTCAAGCAGACTCCACGCTGAGCACAGAGCCCAACATGGGACTCGATCTTACAACCCTGAGGTTAGGACCTGAGCTGAAATCAAGGGTCAGATGCTTAACCGACTGAGTCACCCAAGTGCCCCTGGGTTGTACATATTAAAATTGTTATATTTTCCTGGTGAATTGGATCATTAATAGGAGGTGACCTACTTATATCTAAGCAATAAATGAAATTTTGTCTTAATATCTTAACTAGTAATAATATGGCTATACCATCTCCTGCTTGTTGGTTTCTTCATAGTATATACTTTCCTATTATTTTCTTTCAACCTGTCTGTCTATGTTTTACATCTCTTTCTTGTTTCTGACAATCACTATCTTTTAATTGTACCATGTAGTCCATTCAAATTTAATGTGGTTACTAATATATTTAGATTTAAATTTGTGGTTTTTATTGTTTTCTTTGTCCTTGTTCTGAGTGGTTTTTTTTTTTCTCATCTGTATTTTTTATCTATTTGCTCAGAATGTAAGGACTCTTTTGCTGTTCTTTTAGTTCCTTAAAGTTTATAGCATGACTCACCACAGCCTAATATAAATTGTTAACTTTTATTGTCTTTCCAGTCAGGATCCTTCTTAATCTATGGTATCTATCCATTGATTTGTATTCAGAATCTGCTACTATGTCTCTGCTTTCAAAAAACAAAACAAACAAACAAAAAAATTAAGGCATAAAGGTTGATGTTTGTGTTTACTTATTTAATTGTAATTGATTCCATATCTTGTTTTTATTTTTATTATAAACATGGTATACATCCATTATAAAAGTAATCAAACAGAATGCCCCCTTTATTCTCTATACTTCCTTTTCTTCCCCTTCTTTCCATCATATTGAACTACCATTAACAACTTGGAGTATATACATCAGAGGTTTTTTTCAGGATAAAAATCTATATATGATATTTGTACATCTGTAAATTTATTAATGCATATATATATATACACAATACCCACATTTATTTATGCAATTTATTTTTTCACTGTATATAGCTTTGAACCTCTGTGTTGGGGGGCAGGGGTGTTTGTGTGGTTGTCCTTTTTATGATCTCATTGTTTTTTAAAGATAGATACAGCTGCAACTTTATGCTAAGAAAAAGAGATTAGAATAAAGGTTATCTAAGTCTGTGCACATAGTAGATGCTTAATAAATGCTGAATTGAACAAAACAAAAATCTGCATAATACTACAGAGTAGAAATCTATTTAGATTTTCCCCTTTATTTAGATATTGTGCTATTAATGATACTGAAGCTATTTCCTTTTTTAACAACTGGCAACCATTGCTGTGATAGTCATGCACTGCCCCTGCATCCTTGTGCAAGGAGATCTGTAGGCTTAACTTCCTGCCATGGCATAATTTGGAGCATTAGGGAGTCCATATAACATTTCTCCAAATGTGAAATCGTCCTCCAAAAAGTTCAACTAGAAGTTTTACTATGGAAGCGAGTAGTCAGAAATGGACCAATGTATATGTATAAATTTAGGATAGCGTAGAAAAAGGCATGAGGAAAGAGTGGGAAAAATATCAATTATTCAGTTTGTTGGTGTCAAGTTGCTGGACTGGGGAAGTCTTTGGTAAGTGCTACCAAATCTAGAAATCAACCAGGAAAAAAAAAATTGATAAATTTGGTCATGTAAAATAAATAATTATATATTTAAAAATATATAAACCAGACCAAAAACAAGAAAGCAACACATTGGGAAAAGCACTGAACAAATATGACCAAGGACTGATTTCTTTAGTATCCAAAGAGATATTTTAGGTCATTGAGGAAAAAGTCAGGCAAAAACAGCTCAAGGCACAACAGACAAATTGTAACTGCTTTCCATTTTCTGAGTTTTTACAATGTGCTAAAAACAGAATGGGCTATCTACCTTAAATGCAAGTTCTTATTTAATTCTGGCAGAACTCTATGATAGAGGTACTATTATTATTCACATTTTGCAGAGCAGATATGTTGGTGCAGAATGATTAAATCACTTTCCTGTAGCTTATTAGAGATGGAACCTGAACTCAATCCAATGTCAGTATGCTTAAAATTCCGTTTTCTTAAGCACTTTCCCAAATAGGGATACCTCACAAAGAAATAAACTAGAAATCACTTGAGAAACAAAGTATGATGAGCATGCATATTAAAAGGTGTTTAAATTTGCTTATAATTTTAAAAAAGTGAGAAATTAAAAACACACCTCTCTATGGGCAAAGATTAAAAACATTGATAACAGTCTGTTACAAGAGGGTGAGGTGACCGGGTTTTTCTTAGACTCTTCATGGAATTGTGGTTATTTACAAAACAAAACAAAATCTCTCTCAGCCTCAATTTGCTCATGTGTAAAATGGGGATAATCTTTACTCGGAAGAATTATGGTGACCGTCACAATGATATGAAAAATATTAGCACAATGGCACATATTAAGTGCCTAGCAGCTGTTATAGGTTAGTCCCCCCACATCCCCCACTATCTCACCCCCACACACACACACAAAAACAAAGACTAAGAGACAAATCTTTTACCTCTTTGTGTTCCTAGCCACAAAGTCAAGGGTCAATAGACAACCAAGTAAATGAAGCTAAAGACTGAGAAGAAGAAGGACCCTAGGCTCTCATGGGCTCTCCACAGGACATGGGATTTACAGGGCATTTTCTAGGACCATGCAAAGATTTCCACTATTTGTTCAATTCTACATCCCATGTTCCAGATCTCCATTTGCACACAAGTCAAAGGAGGCAGTGGATATGCTGAAAGGAGCCAGGAGCCCCATGAACATAACATGTGGTCACATAACCTGTGTTATCTATGGGTTGGTGGCCTAATGGTTTAGAGTCAAATGCCTCGAGCCCGTTTCAGGGCACTCAACCTTTTAGAGTCAGTGAGTCCGAAAATTCTAAAAAGAACTTATTAGAAAACACAGAAGTTGGGGTGCCTTGGTGGCTCAGTCAGTTAAGTGTTGGACTCTTGATTTTGGCTCAGGTCATGATCACAGGGTCCTGAGATGGAGCCCAGTGTGGGGCTCTGCACTGAGCATGGAGCCTGCTTGAGATTCTTTCTCTGCCTCTCCCTCTGCCTTTCCACCCCCCCCGACCTTGTGCGCTCTCTCTCTCAAAAAGAAAAAAAGAGAAAACAAAGCACCAGAGCACCTTAATAATATACTCCCTTTTCTAAATATTTACTGGCAACCATGTCTTCATGGAGAGAATTGTTGACCTTGAAGTGACCTCACTAACCTTTTGTTTTGAAGATCTCCATGCATGGAGCCATCCTGACCACACTGCACACACTGTAGTCTTTCATCACTTATGAGAGCCAGAGCCTTCCCTTAAAGACTGCCGGTTCCAGGAAGGCAAAGTCACCAGGATTCTGACAAGCTGGCTGGCAGTTGGTCTTGGGACCTGCTCCTCAGGACCTCAGTGATGTTTGTGCCATCCCCAGCTTGGCAGAACTTTCTCTCCAGGTTGTTAAAGGGACTTCTCCAGTAGACCTTTTTCATTTGTGTAACTAAGAAATAAACATGGCAAGATGAACTGGTAGGTGCTGTAGAGCGTCAGAGAGAATGATAGTGATGTGCTTTGTCTGCAGCACATTTAACTGGACGGTCCCGTTCCTCTCGTTCCTGGCCTGTTTGATCCTGGCAGTGACCGCCATCATTTTGTATTTTATTCCACTCCGGTACATCGTTTTAATCTGGGGTAAGTCTGGCATGGTCCTTTTGCGAGCGGTCAATATCAGGTAAGAACAAATGACTCATTTGTCAAGTGCAACTATCAACTTTAAATGTGCTCTTGTTGGCAATTAAACATGAGATTAAGGAAGGTATTTTGGGAACAAAAACTTCCAGGACCTCCCTGAAAAGGCCAGTTGCCTGAACGATCAGCACAGATATTTATAGGCCTCTTGCATAATTGCAATCAAATAAAAATGTGATTGTGCATGAGATTTCCCTTTGGGCTTTCGTAGCCATAAATACTCTTGGATAATATATTGCCGTGGCCCGGTAACTTTTAGGAAACACTGTTATTCAAATAGTGAGCAAACACCTGCATCTCACCCTTTATAGTATGTAAAAGTAGATCTGGCCCCTGCCACGGTGCTTCTGACACTTCATCTCTCCTGGAGGAAAAATAATCTAACCCCATACTTAAATCCAGAAGCGGTAGAGAGGAAGGGAGGTGGTTGCTCCCTAACCAGTGCCTGAAAGAAGAGGAAGCTATAATTTAGCAGGGTAAATGGTGTGCCTATATAAAGTTTAGCTGCTTTAAAAAAAAGTAGAAACAAAAATCACAAACTCGAAATAAACTGCATGACTTGATTTACTACTCAAGCCAGCAGTTGGACAAAAGACAAGCAGCTTTGTGAATATTTGTGTCTGTTGCTGGGTGGGCTCTGGGTTGATAGAAGGAGCGTGCATTGCAGTAAATTAATTGCTGGAGAAGCAATCAACCCTTTTCCCTGAGTCTGCCAGTCATAGTTTCCATTCCTTGGCTCCAATTAATACTGCTGAGTTCTCAACCATAGATGCTCCCTTCTAGGGATCTTTGCTTGTTAAGGTGTTCAGAGAAGTTACCACCTACAAGTGACTGCATTAAGATGCATTCATGTTTAAGCAAAAGCTGAGAGCTTGCAAATGTCAGATACAAGCTACAATCTTTCTAAAACCATTAAATGTAGACCTTTTCAAAGAGAACCCACAGGAGTAGAATCCTGCTGATGAGGAAAGCCAAATATAGACATTCTGAATTGGGAAAAGTCATCGAAAAAAAATAGAATAACTCATAAAACTTCAGAAGTGGAATGATTTTGAGAGAGCATAAGCCACTGGTTCTCTGTTTCGTCCAGGAAGTGAGAATCCCAGATAAAGAAGTATCTCTCTTTTATAGCAAGCCTGAGAAAAGAAAAAGATACTCTAATTTCTCTCTTTACGGGTCTGTTTTGAGGCTTGATGACCCTCACTCTTGGCGAAAATCTTCTCTCCATACTTAGTTTTTGATTGTTTCTCTTATTTTGCAACAATGCTAGCACATTGGTCCATAGGCCCTTAGAAAGAGATCAAGAAGCTCTTCAGGGTCGGTTGATCAAGAAGAAACATTTTATAAAAGTATCTCCCTGAATACCTTATATACTAAATGTTATCTATATAGACTGAATAATCTGTCTTTCTTAATTGTTTTTCATTAAGAATTCATTTGCAAATCCATTTATTGATCACATTTAAAAAACAGATCTTAAAACTGTTGTCTGACCCTAATCAGAAAATGATTCATTTGTTTCAGAGGTACAGATCTGTGATTCAGCAGTCTTGCACAATTCACAGCGCTCACCATAGCACATACCCTCCCCAATGTCTATCAC